TTGACTAGTTAGTTGGTTTTAACTGTGAAACAGACTTGAGCATTTCTGATAGGTTGGAGGAATGAGTTAGGACGTCAGATTCCTCATCTAGTTAGGGGTTTTGCCACTCTAAACAAAGTCTGCCAAAGGTCACCTGGTCAATTGGCCAAAGTATTAGATTTGAAATCAGGTCCTTTAATTCCTTGTTTGCTTAGGTTCTTAATGTCTCTCTATTTTGCAAATTAACTTTCAGTGGGTAATAAGAGTACAGGTCATACCTGTACAAACACAGTAGAAAAGAGCCATAAAGTCTCCTTGGGCATGGCAGGAATAAGGGAAATAAATACTTGATGAAGCAAACACTTTCCATATGTTAGACACGAGGGTAGCACTTTGCTGATAACTAATAACTTTTTGACCCTGACAACAACTATATGAAGTAGATAAATTATTGTCTTTATTCAATAGATAAAGACATTGAGTCAAAGAGAGTAACTCACTTTCTCAAGATCACACAGTTAGGAAAGGCCAAATCAGAGCCTTAACCCTAGACTGTACTACCTCACAGGACTGCACAGTAATGCTGATCTAGTATAACCAGTTAATAAATGCCTTCAAATGTTGAAACTCATATTTTCTAGATACAGTCATATGTGTTATCCTATGTCATATTACTACAGTTTGAAGACAACCCTGTGGAAAAGTAAAGCAGAAAGCACAGTCTTTATTGAAAATAGGCTCTCTCATTCCCTCTCTATGTCTCTGTCTCTCTGTCTCTCTGTCTCTGTCTCTCTGTGTCTCTGTCTGTCTCTCTCTCTCTCTCTCTCTCTCTCTCTCTCTCTCTCTCTCTCTCTCACACACACACACACACACACACACACACACACACACATTAGGGAGGGAACTAACAGAGCCTGAAACAGCTCAGTGGCCAGCTTATTCTCACAGGTACAGGACCCTGAAGGGGAGAGATTCAATCCTCTACTGTTTTTAGGAAGTAGCACCAACTCTCCAGGGTAGAGAAAATAAACCCATTCTATTAAAATGCTAGAACACAGACCCTCTGGCTAATTTATCAAAGGTCCAAGTGAGAAAACTCATAAATAATAACCAAGGAAACTATTTCCAACTAGAAAAGAATGCTAAATAAATAAATAAAGCAGGTCTTGGCCACTACTAGAATCATTCCTAATCAAAGTAATTTACAGTAAGTCTCTTAAAATTTGAATAAAAATTACAGAATGTCATTGTTTTGGACTAAGCTGTTGTACTAGGTCTCAACAAACCAGACTAAAAATCAGAATGGAGTCACTCATGCCAAAGATACATGTCACCACACTAAAACTAAGTTGCTTAACAAACTTTTCAAGAAATCAGGCTAAGAGAGATAATAGTCAAATGTCCCAAACAGGCCAGTTTCAATTAGGAGAACAAGGAAGTTCCCTCTGCCTTAATCTTTATGTAGGAAAAGGTAACTTGATATAATCTGATATTAACTAATCCATTATTTCCCTACAGTTCTGCCTTTCTGACTTCACCTTACATGGAAAGTAACTTTGAAATAACCAATCTGATTTTGTAATACTCTGGTTTCTCTTCAGATCACATAAATCTTTTGCCTTTTACCAATCTGATTTTGCTTCTTTTTGTTTTTGCCTTCTTTAAGTCCTTTTCTGCTTATAAAACTAACATCTTCAGCTTAGCTCTCAGAATGTGCATTCTATTTTATAAAATGTTTCCTGATTCTAGAATTTATAAAACAGCCAGTTAAGATCTGTAAATTGTTCAATTTTTGTCCTTTGAAAATCGTAGGGCTCTTTGGTGAGACAATAATTTATAATTATCCTCAGAGATTAAAAAAATATATAAGTAGATACATACCCTCTAAACACACTAACTGACAATTTTTTAAAGGAATACTCATCAGTTAAGGAAAGAAATCGCTAGTTCAAAATAGAAACATCAGCCCAGGTACAAATTGTGGATAATTTAGTGGCAAGAGCTGTGTCTTATTTTTCAGGTATTCTCAGGACACAGTATCTAGAACAGAATGATGGTCTTCTCTACCACTTACCTATGCTTAAATCACAAATATAAAAAAAATGCTTATAAAAAGTACCTAAATGAACACAGAAGAAATTAAAATAACACCAAATAACTCTGGTCTGATTTTTTAAAGGAACTGCCTCACTTTTACCTTTTTGTCTGGTTCGATTTTGTATTCTTGTTTGTTTGTTTGTTTATTTGTTTGTTTGACACAGGGTCTCCAACCTAGACTTGAACTCCCTGTGTAGCCTAGGCTGGCCTCAAACTCATGATCTTCCTGCCTTAGCCTTTCGAGTACAGGGATGGGCACTATGCCTGGCTAACTTTTACCTTTTAAAATGTATAACTTTAACACACTTTGTACAACTTTGTAGCATTCTGATTTTAACAACAATTCTATTATTAGTGGATAAGTTTCTAAGTCACCCACTAAAATCCTTTATTCTAATACAGAATAATAATAGTATTCAATAACATTATAGGACCATTTTTTTTTGTCTTTTTTGACAGGGTCTCGCTATGCAGTTCAGACTGGCCTTGAGCTCACTTTGTAGCCCAGGCTGGCCTCAAACTCTCAACAATCCTCCTGCCTCGGCCTCCTGAGTGCTGGGATTATGTCTCATTGTAATTATGTCTAACTTGCTACCTTTATTTGGTATTCCAATCTGAGACGGCAGAAAGAGGCTTTGTGCTAGAGTCCCAGCTTCAGATTCATGAGCTCCTTCTCAGCTTCCTTCCACTCAGTCTTGCTTTCCACTGTATGTCCTTACCCAAGATGTTATGTATGCAAATGACACCTGCTTTTCCTTATGTTTCCTGAATGTCAGTGACTGGCACCACCATCTTCCCACTTATTCAAGTCTGGCACTTTGGAATCATCCATCCTGAATGTGCTCCTTCACTACCCCAGTAGACACTCACATCCATACACACACATATCTCACAGGCTATCAGTTACCAATAGTTCTACCTTGGCTGCTACTTTTGCTCAGGACATTATCTTTCTAGACTACTATAAAATGTTTCTGAGTTTCAGAGAAAAGAAAGCTATAAATGCAGTAAGCTTTCCCCCTTCTGTAGATGCGAAATTTGTGTGGAGTCATAGGTCTGTAAGTGTCCTCTATGAGCACAACATTGAGGTAACTGATGAAACTCGTAGTGGACAAGCTCTCTAAGGAGGCACAATCAGTTCAGGACCTTGGAGAGAGCCAGCAGAACCCAGGGGTGAGAGCCCAAAAGCTAAGGAAGTGCTGTGTCGGGACTGGGTTGTAAAGGCTGCCAAACGCTGAAGAAAGGTCATGTGAGAGAATTCAGTCAGGAGATTTGCTCTCTGACCCCTGAACATATCAAGTCCATGCCTATCTCAAGACCTTTACTACAGGTCTTTCCCCAGACTGGAACCTTCAATCTGTGTATCTGTGTTTATTTCTCACAATTCAGCTCTAATACAGTAATTCTGCAGAAAAGTCTTCTTTCTCCCATTATCTCATTTCTCTATTTGACTGTCCTTCATCACAGTGATCAATACTTGAAACTAGGTAATGTATTCATCTCTTTACTTGACCATTGTCTTCTTAACCTCAGCAGAAAATAAGCTCCATGAAACAATAGACCACTAAAGACTGTCAAGTCTTTAGTGTCTAAAACCATGTCTGACACCTAGAATCTACTCTATAAATATTTGACAATTAATCAGATGAAATAAGACAAGCAATGAGAACAAGAAATTCGATTGGAAGTTTAGGAGACTATTAAAAACCTTGAACTGAACAATTTGAGCCCATACCAGACTCATTGTTGAGGCTGAAGAAATGTGATGATAATTCAGATTGCCACATGTAGATATATATTAGCACACAGTAACTTAAAGGAATAAGTGAAACAGAGTCATCAGTTTGCACTGCTAATATATATTTTGTTTCTAGAATAATTAATATATTTTTGAAAAAAATATATATATATTGAAATAATGTAAAATTGGCACAGGCAATGCCTTATCCAAAACTTCTCAAAAACAGCAGTTATTTCATCATCCATTCTAATGAAGTACTTATCAGGTGGAGACTAACCACTCAAATAATCAGGTGATGGCAAGACCACTCCAACAAAGCCAGTGAATAAGTCACTCTCCTTGAGGCCCTTGTTTACAGAATTGTCAGGACATGAGAGAGTCCTATGGTTGAGGGTTTTGGAACTTGCCATCTCTGAACTTGGGGAAGAGACATATCAGATGGTGGAGGAAACTGTTTGCCCAGGAGTTAAACAGGTTTAGTTTGACCCATACAATCATTTAAAATTTTTAAATTAGTCACCAACTTTTTAAAAATGAGATTTCACATAAAATAGAGGTAGCTAGCATCTCTTAAAACTTCAGAAGTTCTAGAAATATTAGCCATAAAATTCTTATGACCATAGTCACCTGAGGTGAGGTAGGAACCACCTTCTTTAAATAGGATTTATAGTCTTGAGGCTGCCACTATCTCCAGCACTCCTCCTATGTGACACGTTCAACCTACTTCACTTATTTAGGCCAAATACATGGCTCCTAAACACATTTGAATTTGAAAGCACCTGCTGTGAAACATAATGATTAGATGCCTCTAGGCACTGGGGATCTGGGAATAATTGTATACAATCACAGTGTCCGTTTTCCTAAAACAGTAACAAATCTATGATGCATTGCAACAGGCATGAAACTCATAACTGAATGTATTTTAAATATAGTTATAGGGATACGGTATATTTCTGGGGAGCACACATTGTGGATGTGTGTGCATCCAAACATGTATACCTGTAGTGGGGCCTCAAAATATTTAATATATTTTTGACAATTATATTTTTGACAATATATTTTTGACAAAATATATATTTTTATCTTAAATATTTGTTGATTTGTTGAATAAATTAATGAGAAGCACAAGAGTAGTCACCCCAAATGCTAAAGTATAAAAATAGTATGACTTACTGCTACCCACCTTACAGAGTTTGACTCCAACTTACTCCTCTTTTTTCTCATATTTTCCCCACATTTAGCCTAAGATTAAAACCAGAAAAGTGCTTATTAATAATTAGAAGTGAGAGCTGATTAGTCAATCATGATGTGATCCATTTGCATCAATATCCTGTGGTTTAATAATGCATTGATTATATTAGAAAAGCAAGATTTCTTGATTCTGCCAAGAGCCAAGGTCCACGGGTTCTGCTCTTGGCTTGGCCACTAACTCGCTGTGATTCTCTGAACAAATACCTTAGCTCTCTGGTCCAAAGTTTGCTCACCTGTAAAATTATGTGGTCTCCAGGGCTCCTTACTGCTTTACAGTCTCTATTTCTGTGAAAAACAAAGGCATAGGAAAGACAAGTGACTAGAAACTCACAGTCAATACTGTCTAGAAGGAAACACCATGAAAAAAAATTCCCCCCAATAATTAAGGCAAGGAAACCTCAAATGCCTAGGCAGCAATCCATGGAGGGCCAACAATGGAATGTGAACTCATTAGCAAAATGTTGAGTAAAACTCAGAGAGGAAGTGAAGGTGAAGGGGAGGGAGCTCAATTGGAGACAAGAGATTAGAAAGAGAGAAAGAAAAAAGTATTGCTAATTAGGCCATTTAGAAACTGAACAACTGAATGTAATTCTTGCTGAAGCAATAAGAAAACAGCCAAGGGATACATAATAGTAACAAGGATATATGCTAATAGACAAAAACGGGATCCCTAAGCAACTTAGGACAATAACCCCAATGAAAGCTAATAGACATCAGATGGAAACAGCATCTGTATTTCAACCCAATCTCAGTTGAATACACAGACTTAAAAACTTTATAAAAGAGAGCATAGTAACTGGTCAAAAAATATTTCTTAAATTGAGTTATATATGAAGAATCTCAAGTATGCTTCCATGTATATTCACTGCAAATATATTGCAAGCAGAAATCTTTTGCTTTTAAAATATTGAATTAAAATAATGCTATTTGCAGAGATTTTTCGCTAACAGAAACAAGATGGAGTTCAGAATCTATGCTATATTTAGTTTTGTATCCTTTTGGCCTGACATGGTATCAGGCACAGATGCCTAATGCAATCGCTTCCAATGAGTGAATACATAGGTTTTGGTCACCTGTTGCTGCACAGCAAACCTCCTGTATTACTTAGGGTTCTCTAAAGGAACAAAATCAATAGAAAATATATGTATAATTATGCAAGGGGATTTATGAGGTAGGCTCACAGGATCAGAAGGTGAAAGGCCTGCAATAGCCATTTGCCTGCTGGAGAGCTCATGGGTCCAGTAGTTGCTCAGCCCCAGAAAATGAAAGCTACAGAATAAGAGCTATCAAGGATGCAGCACCAGTCCAAGGTAGAAGATCTGGAAGCTCACTAGGAAGTCACCAGTTTGAGGCTGTGTCATAAGGCTAAAGAGACTGGAAACTAATATCCAAAGGCAATGACAAAGACCAGAGCTCTTCCAAAATGAGAATACTTCCTTCTTTCCCTTTTTATTTCATCTAGACTACAAGCCTTTTAGGTAGTGCCACCCACATCTCGGATGGGCTCCCTGTTTGTGGGTTTGCATGTCAATCAGCCACAGTCACACCTAGAATTGTGCTTTCCTAATCTGCTAATTGGTCCTTATTCAAGTGAAGTTAACATATCACAATTAACAGTTACACTTCTCAACCAAATGGCTTAAAACAACAACCATTTTCATCTTTCTCACAATTGTGTTGGCTAATTTGTTTCCACAGGGACCTTTCCTGATAGTCTAACCTGTGTTCTCTCATGTGCTGGCCATCTGTAGAAACTTGGCCTGGAGTTTTCTGAAGTCCACTTGGGACTTGGCCCTCTTCCTCTCCATATTTTTAGGCCACTCTCTTCATGTAGACTTTCCATGAAGTCTCTCCAGCAAGGTAACCAGACTTCTTGCATGTTAGCTTATGTACTCCAAAGGTACAAAATCAGAAGTTATCAGGGCTTCTTCAGACTTTGGCCCAGAATTGGCACTGGCACTGGCACTAATTCACTACAGTCAAAGCAGACCACAGGGCCAGGCCAGAGTCAATGATTGAGGGAGCTATACAGCATATGAACCCCAGGAGCAATTTTATAGACATGGCACCACAGTTTGTCCTGCCCATTGCCCCCCAACTTCTCATAGAACAGGAGGAAGGATTAGAGCCATGCACTTACAAACATGGCATTTTTGGACAGAGGAAGGATGAGTCACAGGAGGGTACAGAGCCCAGAAGGAATACCAAGGAGTATCCAGGAATGTTAGACAGCGTCACTTCCTCAAGTCAGAGAAATGGGGCAAGAGTCGGAGGAACTAACTGCAGTTTTCTTGTCTCTTTTCACCACTATATGTTGGTGACTGAGGGGCAGATAACTTGTCTTTCTTCTTCTTGGACTTTGCACCTGAAGAAGTGTACATGAGAAGCTTTATACAAAGAGCCACATCTTTATCAGGGAGTGATTTAGTGGACAACACTCTTGACCATCAACTGATGCTATAGTGAGATAAGATTTGGGACACTTTCATATTAGAAGAATCTGAATCATTAAGAGCACCAGGGTAACCAGACGTTGTGGTTCATGCCCATAATCCCAGCACTCTAGAAGGCTAAGGCAGGAGGATGGCAAATTCAAACCTAGTCTGGGCAATTTAGCTATTGAGTAGAACTTGTCTTGAAATGAAACATAAAAAGGGGGCTGGAATGTTACTCAGCACAAAGGCTCTGGGTTCAATCCCCAATACTTAAAATAACGAATCAATCAACAAAAAGAAAAGATCTTTAGTTGGACGCTGAGAGTCTCCTTGTCTTTGACACCAGGCTCTTTAAGAGAGGCAGTCTCAATGCTGCAGCTTCAACAGCAACAGCAGCAGCAACAGCAGCAGCAACAGCAAGCACCTGAGGTTCTCAGAGAAAACGACAGGATGAAAATGATGTGTGCTTTGATTTGACAGCAGAGTATACTGCTGGGCAGTGCGATGCAAGCTGACCTGAGTCGAACCCAGAGTTGATGGAAAAATAGAAAACCAAACTATTGAGCTTGATTAACTATGGAAAGTAAAAGATTATTGAGACAGAGAGAATAATAGTGCCATTAACATAAAAATGCAAGAACGTGACACACTCAGAGAAGGAACTGTGGGTGGGAAGACATATCCAGATTTGGACTTACTCATGTGGACAGAGGATATTTAACAGGGTGATCATCTGGGGAGTAAGTGGAGAACAGACAATAGGCAAGAGAGGAAGGCAAAGATTCAGGATCCCATTATCTGCATCCATGCTGGGTGCACTTGAAATGCACCAGTCAGTGAATCATGTCATCCAGAACACAATCAATATCTGGACTTAAGACTTGGCATTCCAGAGGCCTGCCCAGTCAGACTGCTTCCTGAGGACATGCTCTTATCTCTAGGGAAACCCAGGAGTCAAGTGGGAATGATTACTGCAGAAAGGTCACAATAGGTCAGCCATCTGCTTCAGGCTAATGACTAACCTAGTGCCCTTGAGACCCAAAGCAGATTATTTTGCAACTGCCCTCCGTGAAAAATGACCACCCAAGGAGCACAATTTCATTACTTATCCTTTAAATGGACACTGTGCATGGAAATAAACTTGTTGAACACCCAGTAAGCTCATAATGACTAAGCATCCTTCAAATTCTCTTTGGAAGAAGCTCTGTCTCCAACGTTTTGTGGGACCAGATGTTCTTGCACTGAGACAATAAATAAAAACCAAGCAGCCAAGCATGATGTCACACACCTGTGATACAAGCTACTTGGGAGGCTGAGGCAAGAGGGTTGCAAGTTCAAGGCCAGCTGGGGTTACAGAGCAAGACCTTGTCCCAATAATAAACAAATAAATAAATGAAAAAAGCTGCTTGTGATGATGGTGAAACAAATTTTGAGTTGCGTCAGTTCTTTCACTCCTTGTGACCACTTGTTTTTATTTGTGCTTGCAGGTTTTTTACTTACTTGCTTTTTTCTTTGTTTTTGCAATTCTGGGATCAAACCTAAGGCTTCATACATGCTAGACAAACACTCTACCATTGAGCTGTCCTCCACCCAGCCCCTGCATTTATAAGTTGGAAACAATAAAACAGAGTAGCTGGAAGGATCATTTGAAAATCATACTCAAATGAGTATAAAATCCAGATGCCTCTGCAATGGTTTTTAAAACCAAAGTGTGCAGCGGAGTCCTTTGTTAGGGATCAGTAGAAGCTTTTATTTGTATCATTAGATCTCAACACTAATGTAGTGATTGTCTAGCATTTCAATACTTATTTTTTGTTAGGGAAGAGTATCTTATCACTATTGTGGCATATTCTGATAATAAAAAATGTATCACTTATCAGCTATTTTTATTATTCTTTTAAAATTCTCTACAGAGATGCACCCAATATTGTCCATTCTCATTGCCCTACCTTTAGTGTACCACAGATAGTCTGATTCTGAAAAATAAGGGCAGTGTTAAGGAGCTAAACTGCCTCAGTTTCCCCCATGTGAATGCCCACACACCAGTACAAAGAAAGAGACTAGAGTAAGTCCTCTTCTCATAGATAACACAATTGACATGAGGCAGGCAGGATGGCACATGCCTGTAATCCTAGCACTCTGAAAGGGTGAGGAAAGAGGATCACAACTATAAGCCTTGCTTGCGCAACTTAGTAACTTAAGGGATCCTGTCTCAAAATTTAAAAAGAGAGAGGGTGTAGCTCAGTGTGAGGGCCCTGGATTCAACCTCTGATATTACATGACTGCCTGGGACAGACTACTGGTTCTCATTAGTATCTGTCTTCATTCATTTCTTGACATGCTGCTAGTGTGTGTCCTCAACCTCCTGGATCGTGGTGGGGTGAAATAACTAGCTCCAGTCAATGGAGTAAGGAGGAAATGATTAATGCCACTTCTGTCCCTGGATCCTAAAACAAGTCTTGCCAGATTGTTCCTGCTCTTTTTCTTTTCTAGTCTGCTGAATGGACAGAGGACACTTGATGGAAGGAGGCAGGGCCTCTGTATTAATCAGGGTTCTCCAAAAATATAGGAAGGATAGATAGATAGATAGATAGATAGATAGATAGATAGATAGATAGAGAAATAGATATAGATATATGCACATATACATTAAAGTAGATAATAAACATGTCCACATACATATAAACAGATTTACTAGCATATATTAGCTCACACAGTTAGGGAGCCTGAGACATCTCAAGATCTTTAGTCTGCGGATTGGAGACCTTGGCAAGACGGTGATGTTATTCAAAGTCCTGTGACTGGAGAATCAAAGGCAAAAGACTGACATTCTAGCTCAGCCCTTCAGGA